TTTATGGGATATAGATGATTTTTTAAACCAACTTAACGAGAAATCTATTCACAAAGGGGAACAATGGTATTTTATTTCCACATTTCACGTATCGACAGATTATTTAACGTTAAATACGAAATTTTACAATTTGATGCACCAATCAAGTGCTGACTGAGAGGGACCTTTGTACTGCAAAGGGTTGAAAGTGTATTAACCCTTTGCACTCGAAAGTTTTTCACTAGAAATACGTAACATTTTCCAATGGTATGCAGACGATGTTCTTTGAAACATTTTATTTCAATATTTTATTGAATATATATTTTATTTCAATATTCCACATATTGATGCATTATACAAAGCTTAATATTACATGCAAGACTTTATAATTTTGTATCAAATCAAGTGGTGACTGAGAGTCACCTCTCGAGTGCAAAGGGTTAAAGCCCAGAGACTATTGCTCATTACACCTCTCCTACACAGTACCCTGAAAATCCTACATATCCGCCCCACTTCAACCTGTTTCTCACCCCTCACGCTTATTTTCTTGTCTAATGAATTATCTGGCCGTGTCTCAAGCGTGTGACCATTGTTCTCTCGTGCTGCAATTTCTAGGTACTAAGGATTTATCCTTTCCTTTTTTCTCTTGATTTAATTCTCCTCTCGTTCCTTGCTCTTGCTCGTTCTATTCTTCTCTTCCCTGTTTTGCATATGCTCGTACCTGCTGCTCTTTATTCTCAACTTTATTCTTATTTACCATTTCCTTCTCGTTCTTCCCCTTCGTCGCCCACTCTCCTTCGAGTTATTTCTCCTCGCGGAGATCCCACTCGTTTCACTTGCCCTTCGTTCGGTACACGAGAAAGTAGGTCGCGTTTTAATATACCGGCGAAGCTCAACGCTCGACTCGCGGTAAGTGAATCGTAATTGTGATCCCTTTGGGACGAGTCGTTCCGGGCCTTTGACCGCTCCGCGCCAGATTTTCTGCTGCCACCCACCTACTTTCCACCGTCTCGTATACCTTCTTCAACTGTCCCGCGTGCTTTCTCTCGCGAGATCCCGGACTCAGCGAATTTTAAGCGACCCCCTTTGCCGAGGTGTTTTTCACGGGTTCGGCGGTCGAGTTGGAAAAGTCGCGGCATTGAAACCGCGCGAGAAATATCCTGATTATAACGAATTCTGTATAACGCGCCAACTTCGGGCTCCTATGCATTTCCATCGGCTAACGCGTAGATCGCATTAAGAGATTAATGAAACTTCCTCTCCACTCCGAGACGAAAAGTATCTATAATTAAGAGACATCTCCGTCGGATCTTCGTTACCGTGCGTCACCGAAGAACGTGTAAATTTGCGCAGAGAACTGTCGACCGACGGCGGGGATGCAGAAAACTCGCAGTACTCTTTAGCCGAGGATTGTCATGGGAATTCCTCAGGCTGCGAAGTTGCTCTTTACGCTGCAGCCTCGCAATATATTCGCCGAAACGTTCTGACTGGGCGAAGTTGCTCGAAATACGGGCCACGATTTTCGACGCGAATTAATCGCGCAAAAATGAGAGAAACGTTGCAGTACTCTACGACTGATTTTTCATTTTCACAATGTTCAATCCGAAATTTCTTTAGTTCAACTCCTAACGAGTGTCTCGATCTTCAGGATCGCGTCTATTGAGCCAAAGATCGAGGAGGCGCATTCAATTTGAAATGCATTTCACGGTAACTAGGGATTGTCCCGGTGAATGGTTAAATAACGAACACGATTAAAGGAATACTTAGACGGACACTTAGAAGTGAAATTATGAGAAATTCCTTCTGACTCGTCCCTCATTAAGAACTACCCTGCATTCGCTTCAGTTTAAATGGGTCTCGAATCGAATGCGAATTATCGAGCCGTCAGAAATAAAATCAAGCGGCGTGGGGAGGGAAGCATCGCGTCAGCGTGGCTGGTCGCCGGAGTAACGGAATACTGGGGCCGCGGGAGAGGCGAGAGAAAGATAAATGGAAAAGGGAGAGAGAGAATTCGATTTCAGGCGGGAACTGGAGCGCGCGAAACGCTCTCGCGGCGAAAGAAGCACGCGTCGTTTCACGGCGGCACGCATATTAAACGAGTACTTGGCCCGACCCTCTAAATTAAAATGTACAAACTTGACAGTACGTCCCGCGGTGCCGCCTTCTTTTCCGTCTGTTCAGCGGGAAATACTTGTTCTTTGTGTCTCTGCTGAATCTGCGGGGACCGACGCTCGCATTAATTAAAACCATGCAACGTTAACCGGGGTCAATTAATCAGAGCATTCTACGCAGTGTACTCCTCTCACCTTAGAATCCTCTATATAAAACATCCCCACTTAGGTACCCTTAACAGAACTTCCATCCGAAAAAATAAATAATCTCCAATCTTCCTTCGTTCTAATTAGAATCAGACAAGCTTTAATGTACTTCATCAACCAGTTAACTGTGGAATTTAGTTGGAAAAACTTCTCGTTCTGCGCGCAATAAAATAAAAAAATGGAGCGTGTACTCGTCGAACGCAGGACGAATGCACGTAGATTATATTTTAATGAAAGATCAAAGCGAAACTAAGAAGAATTACATATTTATATGAAAAAATAAAGAATTCATCGCTGAAAGAATTAGTATCATATCAAGCTTTACGATGACGTGTATACTCGTCAAACACAGTTAATTGGTTAAAATCCGAGATTAACACTGAAACTACACAGCAGTTCAATTGACCTTTTAACCCTTAGCACTCCAGATGGTTTTGGAATGTATCAGCAACTGCAACTAATTTTTATAGTATCCCTATTGAAAATGGAAAATGCTGTAACGTTAGATCTTTTATTTTCCTTCTTAGTACAAAATTTTGATGTGTGAAAAATCTAATAAGTATAGGGTAGTTTCTTTAAGATTCATTAAAATATTTAATATTTTAACTGGTGCAATATTGGAGCTTATAGAGTTCAAAGGGTTAAAATTTCGCTACAGAAACTCCGAGAGTGCATCTGTTGAGACTTTAATTGACTTACAATTCAATTTGCGTAGTGCTAAATGAATCTTTAACACTAGAACTAGCAAGTTCTTGCAAATATTCATATCTTCGAAGCATTGAATATTCGAAATGATTTTGGAAATGAATAGTTTCATTTGAGTACTATAATGGGTGCCCGAAGAAACTGAAAATAATCTATTGTTACAATTTTTATATGAATTGCATATTATTCGCATTAAATGCTCGGTAGTTCTAGTGTCAATAATTTCTCAGAGAAACATTTGTTCCTTCCAATCACTGCAAAAAGAAGACATCAGGCATGGTCATTTGACCCGTCTTTAGTGTTAACCTTCAAACCAAAATATCGAATCGTTCATTCCCCTAAGAGAAACACTAGATTCTATCCAGCGACAGATTATCAAAGACAAGACAGCGACTAGCGTCAATTACCGGGTGACCGCGATACGCCAGACGCCGGCCTGATGCTGTCAATTAAAAAGTTCGCGGGCAAAGTTCGTTTTCCCGTGGCGCGGTCGATCGTTCCGCAGCCCGGCGAACTTCCGCCGGCAATATTTCCAGCTGCGAGCGTAATTAATTCGTCTCGAGGGGTGTTTTCATCGCGAGGGTCTAAGGAGAGGAAGCCGATCGTCTAACGAAGCCGTCAAGAAACCATGGAATCTCCGATTGATCCCCGCGATTCGCGTAACTTGACCCGGTCTTTAGCCGCGCGTACACACGCGCAGCGTGTAACGAACGGTCCCGCGGCCTCTCCGCAGCGTGCGGAAACGTAAAATGGATTTAACCCCTCAGCCCGTCGACCGGCGGGTTCTCGGCCCGTTCCGCCGGGCCCGCGTTGCAACGCTGAGTAATTACTTTCTCGGTCCTCGACGCAACGAGCTGCTTAACGTCACTTCAAACAGCCGACTGTAATTTGTTTATTTACGTCGACCAGCTAGAAAGGCTGCCGCACGCGTAATGTATTTGTCTGCTCGCCGGCGGATGAACACCTGAAGGATTTCGTTCGCCGGCGAGTTCCCCGTAATTAGAAAAGAATTCCTTTTGCCCCGGAGGGACGTTACGGGATTAGAGAAATCTTTTGAAATAAATTTCGCGGAACGGCGCACCGGGTCGCCGTGTCTCAGGAAATACGGGCTTCCCATGCAAATCGCAACATTTGTCTCGCACGTCTGCCCTTTTATAACTGATTCTACTTAAGACGGAGTACTCTGCGGAGCACGCTCGTAGTTTCTTGTACGTGTACGTTTGGAATTCTGTGATCGAGTCGAATAACTAATAATCTCTTAACCACTTACGGTCGAGACGCTTCTGTTACAGGAACGTCAGCGACCTGTTACACGTCGATAGGCAATTGTCACAGAAATGTCAATTTTCCAAATTGTTTTGAAAGGTATCATGATATGCAAGATTATTAATAGACAAATTTAGTATTTATACATGTGTAATCTTATCACCAGTCGATGCATTTTTATATTCTCTTCTGGAACAGTTGGATTACAGTTGAATTACAGAGTTACAGTTGAATTTCTTTACACCGCAAGTTAAAGTTCTTCAAGTAGAATCAGTCATTACTCAGACACTTGTATCCGAAATTTGATATTCCCGATGTCGAAGCGGTAAATTGAACAATGATTCTTCCGGTGTTCGCCGAGTTTTCTCGTCTAAACTCTCTACTTGTTAAAGCAGAGCTGTTCTAACTTTAGCGCCGTTAATTAAACTTAGTCTCCGGTGTACACTGTTCTCTTCTAAACCGTAGACGAACGACAAGTATACATTGGAGCAAACCGAGCAGACGATCCATCTCTTTACGAGCGTGGCATATTGTTGCAAATCACAGTGCCGGGCGAGCGAGGTTTTAGAGAGACGAGAATACACCGTTTATAATGAGCTTGACGAACACCGGTGCCGCTGACGAACCATTTAACGTCGCCTTAAGCCCGTCTAATCTCGCCGGCAGACGATGCCGACCCGTCGTATGATATTTGCCCGTGTATTGCAGGTTACGAGAGCACGGCGCCAGTTGCGGCTATAATGGGCCCCAGGGAGCAGAGAGTGGTGGCGGGGTCGACGATCACTTTGAGGTGCGTCATATTGTCCCCGTATCAGACGCGGCCCATCAGGGGCGTGCAGTGGCTACGGGATAACAAACTCCTAACATTCCAGGTAAACCACCGCCTTGTTCTTTCAACCCCTTCGCGTACTATTTACTTTCGCCACTGAGCTCATGTACCATTTTACTATCGACAACTTGGAAGAAATGCAACAAAATTGTCCATTCTACAAGTGGAAATTTTGTTTGATAATACAATGATGATAGCAAAGTAGTTGTTCGCTTTGATCCGTGGGTAATGAATAGCATCGATTGTCGTTGAATTAGTCTAGAAATGATGTATTGCAAGGGGTTAACTCTTTGCACTCGGGAGGTGACTCTCAGTCACCATTTAATTTGACACATGGAAACTATAGAATATATTTAACGTTGAACTTTGTATAACGCCTCCATAGTGAAATATTGGAATAAAATAGCTTTGCTCCTTGATATACTTGTGTTTTCGAGTTAATTTCAAATATCGTCTTCGCTTCAAAAAATGTTAAATATTTCTAGTGGGAAATTTCCGAGTGCAAAGGGTTGAACCTAGAGGATTTAACCAGTCAACTGAATTTAGTTGGAGAAACCTCTCGTTCTGCGAGCAGTGAAATCGAAAAATGCAGCGTGAACTCGTCGAACACAGGACGAATGCACGTAGAGTATATTTTAATGAAAGATCAAAGCGAAACAGAGGAGAGTTACATGTTTATGTGAAAAAATTCGTCGCTGAAAAAATTAGTATCATGTCAAGCTTTACGTCTTTTTTAATCTTCTTTTCCTTTTTCATCCTTTGCACTCGGAATTTCCTTTGCATTTCTTCCTCGATATGTCTGTATTATTACGTTATTTTATTCGAAATGTATTTGATGAAATAGTTAGTTTCTAGAGAACAATGTGAACGATTCTTCTTACTTAATTTTGAAAATAATAATCGAATCTATTTGAAAGATGCCTTGACGAAGAAGCCACCTATGAATAAAACTGATGCTGAGTTCTTTCTTATTTCTTCCATTTTTCATACTTTCATCTTTTATTTTCACCAGCCCCTTCATATTGTATTGTTCTACTTTCTTTTATTTTTTCGGTTTCCTTGTTTTCTTGTTCCACTTTCTCTTGTTTAAGTTTTTCTTACTTTCTTCTATTTTTTGTTCTATCTTTCATTTTCGACCTTTTTGCTGTCACTTTTTCTACCACTGCTGATTCCCTTTCTTCCCCACTCATCGTCCTTTCTCCTTTTGTCTCCTCTTCCCCTTCCCATATCGTTCTACCGTCTTTCTCGACAACACTCAGCTCTTCGGAATCCGGACACAGTCGGAAGAGGCACGGTCGTAAATCATAGCGGCGACAGGGTCGAAAGCTCGCACGAGAATCGTCCCTTTCGCTTGACATTTTTGTTTACGTGCGTGGAATCCCGTATCCGTACGACGAGCGCGGAATTGAAATCGTTCTCGCAGCTCCCGCGGACGGAAAAAAGGTTTCCCAACAAAGGTGTATAAATTAAATTCGCAGATCGCCGGACTACGTCGGGAATACCTCGAATGGAAATCGAATCCCATTGAAATTCCACGTGAAACATTCGTAAACCTCCGTGAACGCGCGAGAATCCGTAGTCAATGAACGAATTCCGTAACGAACGGATTATCCGTTAACAGGTTCGCGGGGGCGCGAGCGCATTACTCAACGTTAAAAATAACTAGCGCGCGTAACGAGCGGGTATAATTATCAGCCGAATTGTTCCCCCGACGAAATGAAAAATGCGCGGGTTAAGATCGGGGTCGCGATACGAGGGAAACGGTCGAACATTCATCTCGCTGCTGCGAGATTTCCGCAACGCGCTCGCGCCGGCCCCGGATTTATGACGAAATTACAAGCCGTTAACAGTTCCGCGGGATTTATGTAATTTTCCGGTCCCGCGGTATTTTTCAATCGCGATATTCGCGCGGTCAACAAACAGCCCGCGGGACGATGCGCGTTTCGCAAATCCGACGGTATTAATTGTAAACATTCAACCGACAGAGAGAAAGAGGAGAGAACGAAAGCTGCGGCGACGCGAAAATTTCCGTTGCAATTTGGCGTTTCGCATTGTTTACAGGCGGCACGAGGCGGTATAAACGTGGAGACGGAGAGAGGCGCGGCGCGGACGGTGTCCGAGTTGACGTTGGCGGTGGTCACGCCGAACGACATCGGGAAATATGCGTGCAGACCGACGGAGGGACGCGCCGACACCGTAATGCTGTTCGTCGAACCAGGTTAGCGTCGAAATTTCCCTAAAAATCGCCCGGTTTACGGGCAAAGTTCGTCGGATAATTTCATTCCGGTTTTCACAATGTCCCCTATCGGCGACGGCAAAGATTTACAGAGAACGTTCCACCAGCGCCAGCAAACACCGACCGACTGTACGGTCACTGACAAATAAAAACCGTCGAATACAATGTTCCCGTTCGACGCTTCGTTCACGAGAAAATCGAACTTTGAAATTCGCTTGGGATCGCTTATCGCCGACTCATACCACTGAAACTGGAATTCCCACCGTTCCGTTTCAATTCCTCGCGTTTTTATACGATCGAAATGACTGTGGAACATTCCGTTACAAACAGCGTACACTACGTTACAGCATCATCGAACTGAAATACCAGGAAAGAGTAATTCCAGGATAAAGGAACAAACCCACCCAACAAACCATTAAACCATTAAACCATCAAGCCATCAAACTCATTTTCCACCGTCACAATCTCTAACAATCTTTTCTAATCTCCTCTCGAACGAGTTTCCACTCCGGCAATCAAATCTCGCGCGAGGAGCGACTAAATACGATTTACATTCGATTCCCGGCCAAGTGGCGGTTCCTGCCGAGGAAAAAGAGGAAACAGGGTCTGGCGAGAAGGGATGGGTCCATGATCTAAAGTCGCGTCTTAGGATTACTCGAAACACTTTAAAGTTTTAAGGAGGCGGCGGTATTTCACGGCGGGGCTATTTGTCTGGCTCAGCCGGTCGGTTCGCCGCGGATCGTCGTTCGCGGCTGCGGGAGGGAGAGGATCCCGCGCGAGGAACGGAGAGAAAGAAGGCGGTGCCGTGGTAGCCGGTCACCGGCGAAGGTAAAGGAGAGCGGCGGCGGGCACGCTTGCATGGGGAATTCGCAGCCAGTAGTCTCTATTATCGTGAATTCTCCTTCGGAAGTTATTGCGAGAGGAAACGGGCCGCGGGGCGTCGCATTTTTCCCGGGCGACCGACGACGCCCACCGCCCGCGCGCGGCGTGTGCACATACGCGCAGCACGCTCGCTACTTTCCCCCGTCGCTGGCCGCGCGCGGCCGTAAATCAGAACTTCGCCGAGTCGTTTCGCAGTTTTCGCAGATTGCGAATTTACGCGGTTTATAGGCGGCCAGACAACGACGCTCCCTCGGGATGGCAACGCTGGATACCGAGAGGATTTGCTTCGGGAAGCGAACGTGAATCGCGATGAGTAGAGTGTCTTCTTGATTAACTGATACTTAATGAATGGGACTGTCGTTCTTGGGGTTTGAAGGTTGGAGATGTTGAAGTGGAATTTGGACGGTTGGAAGATTGGTAATTATTTTGGTAGTTGGGAAATTAAATAGTGGGGGTGATTAGGGAATAAGTTAACCTTTGCGGACGAATGTCGGCATTTTGCTGAGATCAAAGTTCCATGTTTGGAATACTCAGTTGTGAACAAAGGATTTAACTATGCGAACAGCAAGGAATCAGTACAGTTTTCTTATTCTCTATGATTTAAGCATTCAGTGCTTAATTTAGTTCAAAAGGTTTTGTATACTTTCAATCTTCGCCCGCAAAGGGTTAATAATATATTTCGAAGGTCTTTTGTAATTTTATAGATCTGAAGTATAGAAGACTTCTCGTTTGTACTGCTACCTTAGTTTTACTGTGTTAGAAATAGAAAATGAAACAGGGTGATTGGAAAATATTGAATAGTAAATGCTGTGAGTCCACAATTTTCTACAGGATTGATAAGATACAAAAACCTTTTTAGTAACAAAGGCGACAAAGAACTTAACTTTTAAATTAATATCATGCAATCTAAAGATTCAGCCATTCAAACAGCAAGAAACAAATATACAGTTTCTCTATTCTCTACGGTAAAATCCACAGGTTCCCTATACTCTAAAGAATCTTCGGCAAAGGGTGAAAAGCGCGCGCGTATCGAGTAATACGCTCCGCGCGCAACTTGAAAATTTGCACGCTCGGGTTCCCCGTATGATGGAACGTTCGGGCCAGTCGTTCGTTATATCGATTCAACAACATTTCGTCGTCGCCGCGCGCTGCGGCCGTTTATCGATCGCTGCTGATAAATCAGAGTTCCGCCGATTCGCCGCACGGTTTTCAAATTTCAGATTTACGCGTGTTTACGGGCGGTGGGTTTCTGCGATCGAGTAACCGGTTTCCCGAAAGAATTACCGTTCGACCGGAATTAAACGCGGCCGTCGCGATGCCTAGGCGCGGAGATGATTTTTACGAGCGCGCGCGCCGACGGGAATATCCTCATAAATATCGCCGTAAATATCCCGTAAGCGTCGCGTCCCGATGAAACACAGGCCCGATCGTGGCGCGGAATAAATTGCGGCCGCGGAAGTGCACGGAGGAATGATTAACAGCGGCGGGCCGGCGTCGCCGGCCGCTAATTAAATTGTTTCAACGGACCGGCGAGATAACGAGATTCGACGACTTAATGGGAAGAAGAATAAAAGAGCGTACTCACGTCGGCGGGGAGGAGGGACGACTTCATTCGGAGACAGCAATCAGGCCGGGGCGAGAGTCCACCACTTCACAGTTGGCAATCACTTCGAGTTATCCACCTTAATAACAGAACTTATCACTCCTTGCACCCTCCTCGAAGTTCAAGCAAAGACTGAAGACAGAGCACGGCAAGTTTCGAGAAATTTGCTGCGACCAATCGGGGTGGGAGGTTATCGGAGACTAATAGGGGCTGATTGTACCCTTGCCCCCGAGGCAGACGGGCAGGCATATTTCTGTTTGTCCATTGTCTGAAACTCCCCCGAGTTTGTACTTTATTAGCTGCGTACCTATTATAAAACCTCTTACCCTCGATTCCTCTCCCTCGTGTCCTCTGAGTGTTTGCTGTTCGTAAGGGCTCGCGGTAATGAAAGTGTCCTGTAGTTTCCAATATTTCCAAGTATATTCTATTGTCTTAACTGTTATAGTTCTACGAATAGAAAGCAGAATCTCATGAAATCATACGTAGGTTTGCGCTTATACACGTTTCCAAAGAGAGAAGAGTTATTTAAGCCCTCAGTCAACCATGAAAATCAAGTGTCCCGAATTTCTTGCCTCCGACGGAGTTTCACGCGCGATAAATTAGTCGGTCGCGTGACCAAAAAGTGCGGCGTTCCATAACCGAGGAACACATTATTGTTCCCGCGATTATTTCCCGCGCGGAAGTGATCAAAGTTTCGTATAAAGCACGAAAGCGTCGGGTCGAGGCTATAAATCAGAAGACCGGCGACGCCGCTCCACAGATTGCGAATTTTCGCGTTTTATCGCGAGCGCGGAGGTGTTCCCATCGGCGGATGGGATTAAAGGCGGCTGTCGAGGCGATTTTTATAAGCATCCGCTGTCTCATCCCGTAAACATCGCCGGCGAAATTGCCCGGAGCACGGCCAATCGCGTGTAAGGCGTGAAAACGAGCTCGATGCACCGGAATCGATCGTCTTAAATAACGAACCGACCGGTCGGTCGGTTTTATTAATCGATCCCTCTTCCCTCTGCCACGTGGCCCGACGAAATCGACGTCCCCGTGATTAATTAATCGCGGCGGGCCGTAAAGGCTGCCGAGAAAAATGACTTTCGGCGACTTTCTGACGAACGTCGACCGGCGGACGCGTTCTTCATTCATTTTTCAGGATTCGACGACTTCTACGTTGCTGACGGATTTACGTTTCATCGTATTATCTTGGAACAAAGAAACATTCGTTTCATAAAAACAAATGAAACAATACACTTAGAGATACGAACATTTTAAGTGGAATTTTCCGATCGATTAGTAAACACAGTGATTTTTCTATTAGTTTCATTTATTCTATTCGCCTCCATCGAGATTATGCATACAGTAAAAACATTCATCTACACAGTTATATTCTACAACCATTTCCTCCAAGTACTACTCCACAGTACTCGAATATTCATTTCCCAGAATATATAAAGTCACTGCAAACAGTCAAAGACAATCAGAGTTCACGAGTATTCAGACATCAATCGACCCATTCACGAGCAATCGTGCAACTTTGCGTTTAATTATCGCTGTGCTTCGTTCCAGACGCAACAATTCACAAGATTCTTCGATCATCGATTCCCGCGATTCCCTTCACCATCGTTTGGTCATCGACTGCGGTCGAAACATCGAACAACGGAGTGAGCGCGCACAAAAAGTAAGCCGGTCGAGTGCGGCGCGGCGCAAAGGCGAGTTTTTGCCAGCGGCGGCCGGTTCCCTCGGTGCCGGGGCTAATTCTTATGCGATCGTAAATAACGTCGCGCATATATCAAAAGTTGCAGCGAGTCGCGAGGCGTTCTCGCCAGTCGTCGCCGCGATCTCCCGCAACAATCCTGTCTTATCCGCTGCTCCCGTTTCCATCTCGGCGCGCTCGTTCCTCGCCGATCCCGGAAACTCCCCGGCTACCCGGTGACAGAACCTGCCAGAACCACTTGCAGAAGCGCGGCCGGCCAGATTAAAGATACAATTCCGCGATTCTATTAATTAAGAAAGTTAATTACGGCGGAATTCAATTTTCCTAATTGCACATCACCGGGAAGGAGTCCTCTCGAGGCGAACCGTGCCCGATATCCGACCGCCCCCTGCCCACTCGTCTCGAAAACCCACTCGAGCCGTCCTCAACCCCTACAATTTCACCTTACCCCCCCTTTTTTCTCGATTTTATTTTCCCCGTTCCCTTCCACCGAGCCGACGTTCCGTCGACGGATCAAACCGTCCTCTCGAGGACACTCGCTTTGAGCTTCAGGAGGATCCCCGAATTTCACGAGTTTCACGGGGTAATCTCCCGGAATCTGTTCCCGAGGGCGCGAACCTTCGCTTTTCTTTGATGTTTGTTTCGGCACGGAGATTCTCATATTTGGCCCGTGTTCAGCGGCTATTAAGGAACCACCGTGGTGTGGATTTCAGCGCCGTTGTGTTCCGTGGCCGAGTTTAACGGTCCGCGGGAAAAATTACGCCGAACACTCCGGCGAGCTGTTATCGCGCG